GGTGCTTTCATCTAATAGCTGATTCAATCAGCTATTAGATAATAGAGCCAAAAAGCCCCACTGAAGCATGCAATCTAAACAGACATTGGGCAAACTGGGTCAAACTAATGCGATGCTTCTTTTGGACATGCGCTGCGCTTGGTACGAAGGTGCACCGAACTTAAAGGGCTGGGGGGTTTTGGAGTTTTTTTTCACATCTTTAAGTAGCTCTATACATTACCAAAACTATTTTTGTAATGCATGTAGTACAAAACCCAAACAATATTACCATGTACATACTTCAAGAGGCAAGAATTTTTTTTTTGGTGATATGCTTTATTGAACCAACTCTCTAGTTGGAAGAGCTGCTGGACAAGCTTTCAGGCAATCAGCTGTATACAACATCTTCAGGCGGTCTTCTGCAGAAGGGCACTTGATGCCTCAAACCTGTCCAACAGCTTTCACAGCTAGAGAGTTGGAACAATAGAAGTATATCACTTCTATGAGTGATAGAAGTAAATGTCAGAACTCAATACTGCATTTTAGGTCTGTTTTGCAAGTTTTTTGATGTCTCTTTGGTCAGACATACAGAAACTGAAACTTTGGGGCCAAGGCAATCAAACATAATTGTCTATAACTCAAATTTAAGTTACAAAGGTGAGATTTTTTTCCAAGAAAAGACAAGCAGTTTATAAGGGATTAATACAGTAGTCCCAGGATGTCAGAAACCTCATTTATTTGTTAAGATTCAGTCAGAATTAAAAAAATTGGTTGAAATCCTGGCACTCCTCCATGCTGGTTTTGTCAGTAGCTTCAGTAAGGTCAGGATTTCACACATGAAATACAGGAAAAGACAGTTTTATGAAAATTATGCTTCTGTTTCCCCTTGGTTGCTCATACAAGGAACAATGACATGAAATATGCAGGGGATCCTGTACAAGGTCCCAAGATGGACATTATGAGAAAAAAAGAATGTGATTGATAGAGGAAGGTTCCAAATACTTATCCAAGAGTTAGGACTTGTCAAAACAGTTCAAGGAGAAATTAAAAAAAAAAAAAAAAAAAAATCAGTTAAAAGTAGTGAAAAACTCATGCCTCCAATTTCATAATGTACCTGTTGTGCAGACAACTCACTGGGCATCTTGTGAGAGTTATTCCTTGCATGATATTCTCAAGGGAAGCAGCTAAACCCTAAAATATAATTTTAATTTGTTCAATCTTGTGTTAACTGCATTCCAAAACTACAGGTGGAGTTAAATAATGCAGCTATATATTTAAAATAAAAATAATAAAAAGGAGACAGGAATGACAAATATTGATGAGGAAGCTAGAGAGTCAGTGAAGCAGAGATATGACAAGAGGTTTGCAAATATAAAGGGCTGCAATAGAGAAACTGTTTAGGTTCCCAGAAATCGTGTAGCATGAAAAAACATTAAAGGGGTATAGTAGCTTAATACAAGAGACTGGGAGTGAAGAAGAGGGATATAACATAAAGTTGATGAGTTGGTCTACTGTGGGGAGCACAAGGCTAGAAGGCAATCACTATGGGTAGTTCCTGAAGTGAACAGGAAACCAATAAAGCTTTGTGACTACAAATTATGTGGTCTGGGCTTTTTGTACATCTGAAGAAATGAGTAGTAATGGCTTCCAATGAAAGCAGGAGCATTGATGTATATTTTTACTACAACTACTCTAGCATGAATGGTGTATTTCAGGTGTAACAAAAACAGTTTCTGTTTATGCCTCAAGGTATAAATGACCTGTTTTTGTAAGATGATATTCAGATGTAATCCCTGACCTGCTATGATTACAAACCACTAATCCTATTATACATGGCACATGGCGAATAATAGCAAAATGCTATACTGTAATTAAGCTGGATAAAATATACATTGACAAAAGTATTTACCTTTAAGCCAACTAGTGGTATGCATTCTTTATCTAACATAAACAATAAAGGTTTAAATGGTATAATGTATGAAAACATGGCCAGGGTAATGTGTTTGGTTTTGTGGGGGAGGGAACAAAACAAGGGGAAATTGAGTGTTTTTCATATGCATTAGTGATACTACTGATTTACTTTTATATACAGTAACAGCTCTGTTATCCAGCATCCCCCATTCCAACAAAATATGCCAGTTAATTGAGTGGCCTGAACAGGTGTCCTTGCCTGTTCAGGCTGCGACTTCTCCCGCTGCGTCTGGGGCATCACTGCCCCTCTCACTGCATCGCGAACCCTCCTGCAGGCTCTGTGGGACAGGGAGGTGGGCCCCACACAGCCTGTTATGCCCCCGGGCCATGGAGGCGTGGCAGCGCAGGCTGCTTTGCCCCGGGCCGTGGGGGCTCGGCGAAACTGGAAGTGCCACAGTGAGCACTTCCAGTTTCACTTTTCCTTACAAGCCGGCATGCCAGTTAACAGAGCATGCCAGCTTGTAAGATGCCGGTTACCAGAGATTTTCCTGTAGCTTCTTTTTTCACAGACTCGCAAAGGCTCACAGAAGTTTAGGGCTGGAAGGGACCTTGTGAGATCACTGATTCCCGCACTGTTTGCTCTGCTAACTGTAGCATCACACTGGTGGCTCATATTCATTTTATGCTCAATTATGACTCCCAGGTCCCTTTCAGACATGGTGGCAGCTAGCATAGCACCACTGAGACTCTAAGTTTGTTGCGGATTTTTCCTCTCAAGATGGAGTACTTTACACTTCTCAATGTTGAACCACATCTAGTTTTGGTCTGCCTATCTATCTAATCTATCTAGGTCTGCCTGGATTGTCAGCCTACCCTGATCCATGGCTGTACTTCCCTAGAGCTTGGTGTCATCGGCGAAATTTGCCAGGTAATACTTGAGGCATCCTTGGGTTGCTTTTACCATTCCTTTGCACATTATGTTGCTATTTACAGCAATACTCAGGGAACAGAAAATGAGAATCAAATAGCATTGCTGCTATGACCGGAAAAGTCTGAACTGGGAGTAGGAGCATTTCCATAGTTGACATGTTAAAGATGCAGACATACTGAACTGGATCAGGCATAAAGCATATGAGAATTAGGCCCAATATCTTTAATTTTGTGAACAGTTCACAGACTTCAGGGATGGGCCCAGCACACATGCATATAATGATAAAGGGTGATTTCAGAAGAAGAGCACTGAACTTGTTTCATGGAAACAATGGAAAATAAAGGCCTGATGTGAAGCCTGAACCCCAGCTTTGCAACCTAAAAGCAGCTGTTACCAATGGTGCGTCTACACATGCATTTGATCTGGGATCAGTTTACTTGCAAGTAAATGCTCCTGGGCAGGCCTCTACACATGCAGGGAACCAGGAGCAGATTTGCTGCTAATGGCAGCAAACTGCTCCTGTTTCCCAGGGCCTTGCAATGGGCCCCTGCTGCCACCAGGGGAAGGGCTGGTGGGGAGCCAGGAGAGAGCTGTCTCCTGGCCAGGGCTGGGGCATTGAACCTTGCCCCTGGAGGGCTGTCTGCTGCTAGTGGGCTAGCAGTTAGCTCACTTCTAGCTGCCTCACTAGCGGATTGGGACAGGGGGCTAGTACCTACCTTACCCTGGCAGCTCTAAGTCCCATGCCTTGATCACCCGATCGGGGCATGGGGCTGAGACCTACCCCTGACCAGGACAGCTCCCAGCCCCTGCTCCACAATCACAGGGGCAGAGGCTATGGAGCTTGTTCCCTGCTCAGCTCTTTTAGCATGCAGCTGGGTGGGGAACAGGCTCCCTAGCCATGCCAGCAGGGAACTTCTAGTGCCAGCTGTGCAGTCACAGGGTCAGCGCTGAGAGATCCTTACCTCCCAGTCTGAGCTTTGAAGCATTGGGCTCAGGCTAGGAGACCCTTACCTTCCAGCACCAGCTCCCTGACCACAGAGCTTAGGCTGAGAGAATTTCCTCCTAGCTCCCCACTCACGATGATGAAGCGGGGACTGGAAGATAAGGATCTCCCAGTCTCCACTCTTTGACTGCGATCTCAGAGTGCGGGGTTTGGAGCTCTCTGCTGCTGGGGCAGGGGAACAAAGTTCCTGCCCAGGCTCTGGTGGTGGAGCCTGCCCTGGCAGCAGACAGCTCCTGGGGGTAGGGAGCAATGTCCCGCCCCCTGATGGTTGGCTGCTGGGAGCAGATTTGCATCAGGCATCTACATGGTCAGGTGTCTACATGCGTGCTACTGCGCTGTTAGTAATCTAAAGTAAATCTGCTACTTGCATTTGCAGGTAGCAAATTTATTCATAATTAGCGAGGTTTACCGCACAGTTAGCATGTGTGCATGTGTACATGTAGATGCATATGCTTACTGGATAGTAAATTATACGACTTCCCAATGAAGCATCACATGTAGGAATGCCCACTGTTACTCATTTAAGCACTACTGGTGGTAATACCAATCCTTAAGGTTGCTTGACACTTTTCATTAGAAGACCCTGTTCAGTTTGCTTGCAACTTCACTAAATGATGCAATCTGAATGTGCATGGAGATTTTCAGCAAAAATGGATCTCCCATTTCCAAGAACAGGGTTAGGAGAAAACACATTGCCCTATAATTGTTAAAAATAAACTTCAAAGACCATTCAGTTTCAGGGAACTCAGGCTTTGGAGTAGGGGCAGAATATTTGAGGGGAAGCAGTCTTAGGCTCAAGGCAATCGCTCCTGCAATCTCTATATCCTCCTGATAATGGGAAAGCAGGGGTTCTGCAGAAAATGTATTATGTGATTAGATAGTCCAAGACTATATTATAAAGCTTGTGTATTATTGGACAAAAATTTGGTCATACAAACAACATTTGTTTTGGAATCTCTTGGTATCTGAGAGTGCTTAATTTTTAACTTCATTGTTATTTTAATGGGGTTTTTTTATTGCAATTCAAATGGACAACACTATCTGATGCTAGAAGCATGTGTTTTTTGAAGAACTACACAAAAGGGTTGTGTATGCTTTTGTTAAAACCACTAGGCTGTCACCACTTTTTGACACGTAGTTCTTGATCAAAGATATAAAATAGTAGCTAATACATACCGCAATCATTATGCCACTTGTTCCATTGAAATTGTCAATCCAGCCCTGCAAAAAAATCAAAACAAATAAACAAAACAAAACAAAACAAAACAAAACAAAACAGGAGAAGCAATTATTTCTTTCAGCAATGTGTGGCTCATACAAGATTTCAGAACGGTGAAAGGGTTGTGGAGCTGTGGTACAGATGAAGTCACTTAATCAGAACAAATTTTAACAGAATGCCAACTGAGCTGGGATAACTACCAAGCAACAAGCTAGTACAAAGTATTTAATTTATTTTAAACATGGGATATGTGGCATGGCATCTGCTATTGTCTGGAGCTTACTCATCACAATATAGTCAAATTTTGTTACAGAGAACACCACTTTACAGTGATAATTTTACTATATGAATCAAATCTACTTTTCCAAAGTGCCTGGTTTGTCCTTGCTTGTAGTGATCAGCATGATATGTGTGTGTGTCAGGATCAGAGCAGAGGTAATTTATTTGATCATTTTCTGATATTTTCAAAGACAGAAAAGAATATCATAACTCTTGAATATGACTCTGCTTCAGGTAATAGAAATTACATTATGTAAGAATTTTAATAGGAGAGTGTAGTATTTCTTCTGACCAGCAAATAGTACTGTGATGCCTAACAGAATTTACTCTGTCCTTCCAAGATGGATATTTTGCTTCAGATACTAGGCTATGTCTGAGCAGCTCAAATAGGGGGAGAAGTAGTCATCTTCCTGATTTGGCCACAGTTTCAGGACTTTTTGCACTTACTGATGTCAGAAGTAAATGTGGCTTGGCTAATTATTTCCATGAATAAGGGGTCAGGGAGGCTCCATGTGTAATGCTCCTAATAAAATAAAGGTTCAGGGAGGCTCCATGTGTAATGCTCCTAATATTTCCAACACTCCTATAAATGTGCATTTGGCGCATTGTTGAAAAGTTCTGAGAAGCCAGCACATACCTCTATAGTATGTAAACTAAATGAAATGGCAAGCCAAGGGTGCTCAGTCCCAACCCTGACAACCCTGCCTACCACAGTGCGTCAGCAGAAGGCTTATGAGCTGAATGTACAGGGAACCTATCTGGCCCTTTGATACCTAGAAGTATACCTCTTAGCTCAGTGCTGAGGCACATGGACATGGCAACCTGGAGAGGACTGCACACTTCACATGGAACTTCAGTCTCCATCATTTAGTATTACCGTTTGATGCAATGAACTGTTTTTGTTTTCCTGGCATTATTTGAAAACGAGAATCTTTCCTGGAGATGTTAAATGAACTCAATACTTCTGCACCAGCCACACCTCCTTCCCAACACCCATCAGCTTTCTTAGAGACCATGAAAAACCAGAGTGCCCTTCTAAGATTTGCAGTCACCTATATAATGAGGAATGGCTTCCAGGCAGCAGATGGCACTCAGATCTGGAAGGATACTGAGTAGGAAACTACTAAAGAAAGAAAGGTGATCATGCTTACTGGGAAAGGCTCATGCCAACTGGCTCCTACGATGGATGGCCTGATGATGGCAATGTTCAAGTTGGCTTTCTCCTGTTGGAGCAGGTACTCTGTCAAGGCTTTGGTGTATGCATAAGTATTGGGCCACTCCCCAATCAGCTTGGGTGTGATGTCTTCAATGATAGACTCATCCATCCACCTAGCAGGAGAAAGAACAGAACTCCACTGATAAATGCCACACAAACAGGTAGATGAAATGGGGAGGGAGTCAGGGGACAAGCACCCTCAGCTGCAACAAAGGAACAAGCAACTAGAAAGCCTTGTAGGCTAAGTAAGGAACAGCTTGGACAGCCCTATGGGAGATGTTTTAGCTAATAAATTATCTACCTGCTTCTCAGTAGCATAAATGAGTCGACACTGAGCTCTGTGTTGCCCTGGCTAGGCTGCAGCCAGTGCCTTGTTTAAAGCTAGTTCAGATAGCTCTACAATCATGCTGCAGTGTCGTGAGTGGACGTTCTCCTGAGCCAGGTTCTGACAGAATCTCGTAACTTGGAACTTCCTCATCAGCACAGACTAAGTGCACTTTCTTGTAGGTTTCTGGCAATCTTCTACACCACCAAGAATTCAGCAGTATTGCAAGAATTTTAAAAGTGCCCTTTTTTGTGGTATTGCCATTGCATTACACACATCTCTGACATTGCTGGGTGCATCTACACACGTGTTTTGCTGTAGGGCTGACTAATTAGCTCCACAGTAAGGCATCGTTGTCTACACATGTGCCTATATTAGGGTGAAGTAAATTAATTAATTCTGCTGTAGGATAGTACTGTCTGGGACAAGTACTATCCTATGGCGGAGTCATTTAGTGCACCAAAATGCATGTGTACGCAGTAGCTGGCTGGGACACAATGGTGCTACAGTGTGGGGGCCAGGCAGCCCCCTTGCCACTGAACAGTGCCACCCAGAGCCTGGCTCAAACAGCTGTGGTCCTGGGTGCATGTGAAGACGCTGTGCCCGAGAGCAGCTGACTCCAGTGTGAGCTGTGCCAAAGTTTATTGCTACATGTTAATTGCTTATGTAGATGCATCTGCTGTGTCTGAATGCAGTGTTACAACATCCACTAAAGAAGAAAATGATCTGGTTGGATCTTCTCAGTCCAAAGAAACAGATGTGGCCTACTGTCTCTAAGCAGTAACATGGGAAAGTAGAGAAGAGTAGTGTTTACTAATTGAAGGATATGGGTTCAATTTCTACTTCTACTAGAACGCCCTTAGAAAACTTCTGCTGTCCCACCAGCAAAAGGAGATCAATGACACAGGTTTTTCCCCAAGGCTAGTGGCTGTTTCTGTCCGGGTGAAAGATGCAGGAAATGTTTCTCACTGCAGCAGGAAGGGTGGTCCCTTCAATTGGCTGGTACACATAAGATTAAGAGAATACTGTTGTTACCTGATAAAGGACATAAGACTAGATTTTTAAAGAGGTTCAGGTGCTGGTAATGTGTAGATTTCAATAAGAATTATATGTCTACATACCCTCAGTAATCTGCCGCTTATTAATTTGGCTCAAGTAGGAGACTTCATCACTGCTGTTACTTATCATAGCTATTTTGCTTACCCTGCCTGTATTTAGGTTCTGAGCAGAAGGGAACTAGATGCGTTTCCAAAGTTCATGCATAGTGCTAGAAATCCAGCTAGTGTTTGCAGTAGTCTGATGCATCAGTCCTTAGAGTCAGAGCTAAGATCCAATAAACATTTTGTCCCCTGCACTAGATGGTAGTTTACTAGAGACATTCTAGAGATGTTATTGTATTTTTTTTTTTGCATACCACACACACATTCCCAAACCAAGAAGCTTCTTATTTGGGAAGGTAAAATGAATAAAAATAAGGATTTTCCTTTTAACCAAACCATTCCAAATCAGTTTCCTCCTTTAAGACATGCACCTCAATTTTCAATAACTAATTGTGGGCAAAATGGTGAGTGTGGTATGTGAATAAATAAGCCAGTTTCACATGGATCTTTCTTTAGCTCTTCCCTGCACAAAAAATGCAAGAAGATGGGAAGTTCATAAAATAAGATGGGAAACTGATTGGGGGGGAAGCAAATGAAGGAGGGAAAGGCATATGTTACATCTTGATAACCCCTTGATTAAATGAACTCCAAGGTGCACCGCAAGCTCCAACCTGGTTCCTCCATTTGCACACTGATCTTCAAGTGATGGTTGGAAATATTCCAGCAAAATGCTTCCCCCCCCTTAATCAGAAAATGCTGATTCATCAAAACCAAAACCTTTTTCAGGAAAAGGTCTGTTTCAACCAAATCTTCAAGAGTCATAAAAATTATGAAAAAACACTGAAAATGTTACATTTCAAATCTGTTGCTAATTTATAACGTTTCGAGGGAGGAAGGAACTGAAATTTTTAGATAATTGTTTTTTTGGCCTGACGGGGGTCAGGAAAAAAACATTTTAAAAATCTCAAAAACTCTCATGACATAGGAAGATCATTTTGTACCTAAGAGTAGTTTGACTATATGTGTGGATATTAAGAACGATAACAACATTTTTGAAAGAAACCATGCTGCAGTTATCACTATGGAACACCCATTTGTTTTCCAAGTGTCTAAGTTGCCATCGGAATAATCTAACAGGAATAGGAGAGACAACTTGTAATGATAAGCTTGTTGCATCTTGTCCATTTTATAAACACTTTCTGACAAAGTACACTTCTCAGGTGCCATTTCTTCTATGATTACTTTGTATTTAATTAATACCCTACATAAAGGAGGCACTGTTTCTAAACTGTCTAGAGCAGGGTTGTAAAAAATAACTTGTGCTCTGGGCCAGATATAAACTATGGGGCTCCTTGCAGGATAGATCTGTCCTGAGACGCAGGCAATCTGCAGTAGGTCCAGTGGCAGCTAGTAGTGACTGCAGTGGCAGTGAGATTGGTGATGGAAGGGCAAGTGTTGGTGGACCAAGCAGCCATAGGGTGGGTAGGGCTGTGTCAGCCCAGCCCTTGCTCACCCTCCTGCTACTGACAGTCATGTCCACTAGGACCTGGGGCCCCTGAATTCTATGGCAGGGCTCTACTCTCCCCCAGCTATGCCCCCAACTTCCTGGTAGCTCAGCAGGCCAGATCAAGTGCTTTCATGGACAAAATTCAGCCTGCAGCCTATCTGTTCTACACCCCTGATTAAAGGAACTATGGGTTCATTTGGGTCTCCAACGTCAAACTTTTCATTTTTCTTTGGTGTTTGTTTGCAGTGATTTTTAGTTAGGGTGCTGTGGCACCCTGGGGTACAACAAGATCCTTTTAAGGGTGCTATGGTTGCCACTCAATATTAGTACTGTTAGGTATGCAAACACCTAGATGTGATTCACAAGATAAACCCAGACGTTACAAAGAGGAATTTATAGTGTCAAAAATGTTCTGACTTGGTTTTTCTGAGTTCTTTGCAACAGAGTAATTGCTCTATTATTTTTCCATAGGCAAAAAATGAACAAAAATTAAGAGTTGGCACTTTTGAGCAGTGCCTTGAGTTTAACGAGGTTGAGAACCACCGGTGTACAGATTTGTATTTTTCTCAAAGCAAAGAGAAACAGTGCTATGCTTCTAAGTATACTAGCATTTGTTGTTTTTCCCATGCAAAATTTCTTCCAAGTTTTTCCCCCCCTAGGAGCTGTCTTCTAAGGCCTCAGCAACAGTTTGATACATGCCCCATCAGAAGTAACAATCCCTCTTGTGATCTGATTTGCTGGAATTAGTATCACAAAGCTGACAATTCAGGCAGGTAAACTCCTTTTACTTCTGTACCATTCCCATGACCTACATTTGGGATTTTGAAATGCTATCTCCTACTGTAACTGCTTTTGCTCACCATTATCACTGTCTCAAGCAATGAAAGAAAAATGCTGTGTTTAGCAGTCCTCCTGCCTCCCCCCCCAATGTATGTATATATTTTATTATGAAGAAACTCTCTCTCGTTATTAAGGCTGCATGTTTAACATAAATAAGGCACTCCCTTATATAAATCTGAAGTGACCTCTTTTTTTCTGTTCCTATAATATTTTAATCAGGAACAGTATGCACTCTGCCTCAGTCTATACTTTGCGTACTGTGCTGTGCTTCTTACCTCAGTGCACCCTCCAAAGCTGATTTCCCTCAGCTTTAGATTACGGCAAACCTTGCTTGATGGGACAGATTATAGGTTTGCTCTATTGGCCTGGCAGCAGTAAGAAGTGTAACTTTTGCTTTGCACAGATCAGTCTGAGGGTTTCAGTTACAGCATCATATTGGAAAACTGGGAGATTTCAGGACGTAAAAACAGGGACAAAAAAAAAAAAAAAAAAAAAAAAGCAAAAAAAGCTGGGATTTCAACCAAGAATTCCAGTTGAGTAAATAATCCCAAATATAAAGTAATGAGAGGACAGAAAGGACCATTAAAAAGATCTGTTTTGCTGTGGGGACCTGTCACAATGTGTTCATAGAAATACTGGCCTCATAAGTCTAAGAAGCTTCTTGAGGCCTGAGCCTAAAAAGTCCTCATTGCATTTAGAAACAAGCAATGGCCTGCAGAGACAGTCTCTCAGTGTGACCTACTGCAGTTTCTATTGGCACTGGCTATCCGAGGGCAGAAATAGAATAGCAGTTGCACAGCCAAGATTGCACAGTATCGTCAGCCTCAGACATGTAGATAAATGAAACCACAGAAAAGAAAAACAAGATGTTTGTTCAGCTGAATGCTTTAAAAGAATGTTTTTAAAATTGGTATTCAATATGAAGGGATGCCTTCACAGCTTGGTTGGGAGAAAATGACCTACTGTTTCTTTCCCCTTTTTGTTAACAAAATTCTTGTAATTCTTTTGAGAGAGAGAGAGAGAGAGAGTGGGCATCCATGCACAAATCTTCAATTAAATAATTTTTTGAGGGGACTGTTTCCACATTTCCTTACCTGTTAGTTTCCTTTATATAGATATAGATATCTATCTATATCTATTTACAGTGCCGATTTGGACACTTAGATAATGTTTCTCTAAGGCAACTGATGAAGACAGTATAATGACGTATTTTGGTTGCAACCTCCGACCTTCTCTTTGGTTCCATCCTGCCCCAGCCAGCCCTTTGAGCTTCAAACTCTCTCAGTCTCTGTTCTTTGTCTGCCTTTGTGTTTTCAGTACTTACCCCCACACAAGTCCATAACCCTGACTTTCTCCTTCCTGCTCTTTCATGAAGCACTTTTGAAGCACTGGACATAGTCTTTCTGGACTTGAGGAAAGCCTTTGACACTGTCTCTCATCCCATTCTCATTAAAAAACTAGGAGACTGTGGTGTTGATATCTACACAGTCAGATGGGTCGCAAATTGGCTGGAGGGCCGCACCCAGAGAGTGGTGGTGGATGGGTCTTATTCGACCTGGAGGGATGTGGGTAGTGGGGTTCCGCAGGGCTCGGTCCTTGGGCCTGCACTGTTCAACATCTTTATCAGAGACTTGGATGGGGGGGGTAAAAAGCGCCCTGTTCAAATTCGCAGATGACACTAAGATGTGGGGAGAAATGAGCACACTAGAAGGGAGGAATAGGCTGCAATTAGACCTAGACAGGTTACAGGGGTGGGCAGATGAGAACAGAATGGGTTTCAACACTGACAAGTGCAAGGTGCTGCACCTGGGGAGGAAGAACCAGCAGCATACTTACAGGCTGGGGAACTCCCTTCTCGTCAGTGCAGAGGCAGAAAAGGATCTTGGAGTCATTATTGATGCCAAAATGAACACTGGCCGACAGTGTGGGGACACGGTCAGGAAGGCCAACTGTACCTTGTCATGCATCCACAGATGCATCTCAAGCAGGTCCAAGGAGGTGATCCTCCCCCTCTATGCAATACTGGTCAGGCTGTAGTTGGAGTACTGCACCCAGTTCTGGGCACTGCACTTCAGGAGGGATGTGGACAGCATTGGGAGGGTCCAGAGGAGGGCCACCTGCATGATTGGGGGCAGCAGGGAAGGCCCTACAAGGAGAGGCTCAGGGACCTGAACCTGTTCAGCCTCCACAAGAGAAGCCTGAGGGGGGATCTAGTGGCCTGTTACAAACTTGTCAGGGCGGCTAGGATCTGGAACCAACTTCCAAGAGAAATGGTTCTGGCTCCTATCCTGGGGGTCTTTAAAAGGAGGCTGGGCTGGATGAACCCCTTGCCGGGGTCGTTTGACTGCGGTACTCTTTCCTGCCATGGCAGGGGGTCGGACTTGATGATCTGTTTAGGTCCCTTCCGACCCTACTGACTATGAAACTATGATCTCCTTCCTAGAGATTGAGAGGACTCCAGGAAACTTCTAGGACACTTGAAACCAGAACCCAGAAAATGACAATCCTAACTTGGTTTCAATGCCTTTGACAACAGTAGGAGGCAGTATGAATATGTAGGAATATGTAGGACAACAGTAGGAGGCAGTATGGGTAGCCTTAGTACCATTTGCAAAGGCTAAAGGGATATGACAGCTATCTTAGCTGAGGGCAGCCTGTGGCTTCTAACCATAACAGAAGGCGTAAAATACTTTGAAGTAAGGACAGAATTGATAAAGATGCCACCAAAGCTTAGGCAACCAAGAGAAACTGTAAAACAAATAGAAATAGGAAGGAAAAAAAAACAAAAAACCAAACCAAACCAAGGTATAATTATGTAACTAAGAAATGGCAGCTACATGTACTACTAGGCAAATGAACCAAACCCTCTGCCTCATCCCAGCCTCTGTGGCTGATCCTATTTTCTCCCTTGCCAGTGCAGCCTTGAGCCTACAAACTTCTAATATCATATAAGACATTAATAATGCAAATGACACACCCATGTCTAGTCATAAATCCCTCTTAGTTTCTGAAGCTCATTTTGTCCTTTGCATAGGTCTTTTTCTGAGCCATTGATGCTACTGAGGTGCACTTGCTAGAGAAAGACAAATGGACTCTGCAAGTTCATAGGAAGTTGGAGGGTACTTATACTGATGTCCAGGGATCCAGCTTTTCCATTTCCCATGGAAAAATGGAGAAAACCACGGATTTCACATTTTTATCAGAGAAAATATAGATTTTACCTTTTAGCAGAGAAACCCATGAATTTCCCATTTTTGTAAAGAGCTCTGCAGGCTGGTTGACCTCCAGGAAACCCCTAGCCCTGCCCAGAGGGAGAGGGAGAGGGGGAAGGGCAGGCCTGACACTCTGAGTCACCCAAGGCTTGGCTTAGATTCACTTTCCTTCTTGGAGCCTGTGAAGTGGTAAGTGGGGCTTGCAGGGGGCTGAGGGAATGAGGAGATGTTGGGGAAAGAGGTGGAGTGTTAGGGAAACAGTTTCAAGGTTTTGCAGTGCTCCCTGCTGCACCAGGTCATGAGAGAGGGAAGCAGGGCTTCAGGGAACAGCAGCAAGCTTCCCCCCCAGCTGCCCGGCGTGGCAGGGAGCACCAGAGCCATGTGGAGATCTCCTTGCTGTTCCTTGCCCTGTGCTAATCTGCCTCCTGCATGCAGGGCTGCAGTAAGTGCAGCGACAGGCACAGGAGGCATGTCACCAGGGCAGTGGCTGGGGAGTGAGGGGCATTGGCGGGGGGAGGCAGGGATTTTAATAATGGATTTTGGGGGTTTTATCAGAGAATTTACAATTTTTTTTATAAGAGAATTTGCTTTTGTTTTTTTTTTTTGTTTTTTTAAATATATCAGGGAAACCAGGATCTCTGCTGACATCCTTAGAAGACAGGTTATTCTAACTAGAAGCTGGGTGAATTATACTGAAGACTGTGGAGTCCTAGAGAAAAATCAAAGTAAGAACAATATTTTGTCTTACCTTTTCCAGGTAGCATTCAGACTGAAAGTATTTTTTGGCAAACCAAATTTGGGAGCAGTAGCCTAATTTTCTCCAAGACATGGTTTTTACACCCATCCCCAAACATATCAGAAGGAAGAAAAGAGCTACACCAGCACTCCAGGTTAAGGACTGGCAGAGTTAGTGCTGATATTACACAAGTGGAAAATGATTTGAAAAGAAAAAGAAAAGCAAAACATGCAGCTGTGGGAAATCTTAGTTCTTCTCAGAGGAAGGTTTCCCTTGGGCTCCTGTCAGCAGGTTTTATTTTTCTTTTTAATTATTCTCTTTAAAAAATTCAGTTAAATGAACTCTTTTGTTGTCCTGCTGATTTGCTGGATTTTCCAGCTGAACTGTGCTTCTCTACAGAGAATGGATCCCAGAGATGGACAGTTCTTCCTGGGCTGAAAGCAACAGGAAATGAACTGCTGGGGCTGAACTCAGCAGGCTAGTCTGCAAAATGATGCAGTCCCATTTTAAATCTCTTCTATAGCAGTCTGTTGGTTCTGATTCACCTCTCTTCTATTCCTGTTTAAGGATGATGTGACTTCATTAAAGTAACTGGAGTCACATTGAGAGAAAGCTGGAGTAATGCCATGGTGAATCATGCTCAGTAATAGAAAGTTGCAGTTCCTATAGGGGGCTAACAGGTTTTGGACCTTACCAAAGGAAGAAACATCACTCCACTCTCACTAACTCATATAAGCTCCATCAAGTGATTCAGTCCTGGACTATTGTAAGAATCACATGAGCACTTTAGAAATGGTGTGATGAAAAACTAAGGAACATCTGAAATAAAAGGACTAACACATCTGAGTAATTGTATCAAATTCCTTCCTATTCAAAATAAAAATCAAAATAGCCCTGGGTAGGCCAGCCTCAGCATGATGTCAATAGACCTCTATATAAAGACTTGTTATTTAGATGGAAGCTATGTTAACATGGCTAATCTTCCTGGAATATTAGGTGAAAGGGAGAGAAACCAAACATAATATGTGCAATTTTATGGGAATGAAGCCTCCAAACAACTTTTCTTGAAAATGGATGGTACCTCTTGATGGTAGCTGGAAGCTAAAAGAATGGGTATGCAAACAAGTTTATTTTTAATTAAATTTTCTGTATTCCAAGCCAAATTAGCCAAAACAAATTCCAAATCCAAGAATCAATCCAGAACCATAAGCGGCTCGACTACCAGCAAACATTCTCCACCCCCATCTGGGGCTTTAGATGTTTCCAAAACCTTTGGTGGGCATCCAGCTTGCAGGCCAAAGCCTGGATGCTTGGGGTTCAGGTAAGTTTTGCTTGCCCTCAGCCGTAGGGCCCCAGAGGCAAGCCAGGAAGGTCTCTCCCATTTCTTTAAAGTGGGCTTAAAGCCAAGACCCTCCCACTCCAGCAGCTAAGTGGAAGGTTTACTATACATTATCTTGGCGAGTACTAACCCTGTGCCAGGAAGGTGGTTTTCCCTGGTGTGGCTAGGAAAACTGTCTCCATGGTCACGTTTTTCCCTTGCCAGATAAGCATAGACTATGATTGATCTGAGCCTTCAAGAGGCCGAGAAGTGCAAACAAGTTACTGCAAGATTAGCTAAGGAGTGCATTCACAGCACATCAGCTGTTCCTTTCCACCCACATAGGTGCATACTTTCACCCCACTGTTATGGTGGGGTAAACTACTTTATGGTTATCAAGGGATAACAGAGTGCATACTGGCAGTTGCAAAGAAATGGCTAGTGCTTTTTCAATTCATGCTCTAGTTTACTTTGCAGTAACCCATTTGTATGCCTATCCATATCCTTAGTTATCAGTCACTTCCTTCAGGCTCCTTCTACCCCTATGCACGCAATCCACAGCACTGGGAGTAGGGGGGGAGGAGACGTTATTTGCAGTTACTCAGAAGTCAAAACCACTGGTGATACAAACAATACAGGGGCTTTTATGTTGAAGGTCATCTCATCAACATCAGGAAAAGCTGTATCTATGTCCACTTACTCCACTAGGCCAAAGAGCTTCTTGGGCTCAACAGGGGGTGGGTAGATTATTTCATCTATGTGTTTCTGGTTACAGTTTGCATAGGCAGTAGAGATGTGGATGAAGGCCTCGAGCTTCTGCATCTGGCGAGCCAACTCTATGAGCCGTTGTGTGCCAAGGACATTCAGCTGTAGGGCACGTCTAAATAGAGAGAGAGAAAGAAACAACAGTGGTTCAGCTGGTACGGACATACTAAAACTGCATGTTGTTTTTACTCAACTACAGTTTGCTATTCCAGGCAAAAGATGAGAGGAAGAGTGTATCTGAGGAAGAGAAATGGCTCAGAGGACACTTTAATGAAATGCAAGAGGAGCAATATGTTTTCATATGTGCAATATTCAAGCTGTCTACTGCTGGGACAAACGGTAATTTGGGAGGTGGTTTTGCCCAACCCAGTGAATGGGAAGAAAAAATCCTATTTAATTTGTTGTGAAAACCAGGGTTGGGGACAGACAAACAAATTGTCCAGAGTTAAAAGCAGAAGGAAGAGATTTACTGAGCTTTATCTGATCTGTGGTAACTGTTTTGTGTGTCCTCTCTATCCTGTGATACAGCGGAAGTTAAACCACAATAATTTGGCAGCTGTTTTATTTAAGAGTAAATTGTCATGGTTCTGCTTTCACTTATCATGGGAAAGAATGGACTCATGAAACAATTACTGCAGATCAGCTGATTGGGAGGTGGGGACTTACTGCACATCACCAGATCTGCAGTAACTGTTATATGTATCCACTCTATCTATGGTAAGTAAAGCAGAACTATGACAATATACTCTTTTATGAAACCGCTCCAATTCATCTTGATTTAACTTCCGTTCTGTCATGGGAGACAAGACACACAAAACACGTATTGCAAATCAGTTGATGTACAGTGAGTCCACACCTTTCAACACACTCAGTATAATTGGTTTCTCTGTCCATATCCTAAAACGGACAATACCTCCTTGCTGACTTGTTTGTTAAACAAACACCTCCTCTCAAGAGAAATGCTTCAGAACTGAAAGAACAAACATAACCCATATAAAACCAAATATATACAGGATTGCAGACAAGCACAGAAGGGCTTGCTCAGAGCAATAAATCCATACTAGAAGCTGCCAAAATTGTAGGTAAAAAAAAATATACGTCTCCAAGATGCAGTGGTTTGAGTCAGGGGAAGAGCTGAAAAACAAGCAGTAGAAAAGGGCCATGCTTAGCTATTCCTAAGGTCCTCACTGAAGCATTCAGGATAACTGGAAACTGTTCTACTGCTTGTTTATATGGAGTTTTACAAAAGCTCCCCTTATTTAGGGCATTTATATTGGAAGAACCCAATTTAATTTCCTTAGCACGTAGGAAATTATTCTCAACACTCTGAGTACACAAGAACAACCAATCTACCATACCATTTTGAAATCCTGCCTGCAGCCTCTCCTGGTGCTTGAAAGGGAGGTATAAAAAAAAAAAAAGACATATTTCACTTTTACAGTGTCAGTGGGAAGTTTCCCCTCAGTAACCCATAGGACAATTAACTACAAATAGTAGTAACCAGTGAGAAAATCTCATGAGTGTGTGAAAGAGATGCAAGCAATGAATGTAATGCCTCAGACAGATGGATCTAGTAATCATCATTAATGAAGTGTAATCTCTTTTGGGGCCTGGATTTATAATTACAATCCCATGTTGATTAAAACAAAGCTCAAACATTTGAATAAAAATGACAACCTCAGTGGGTTAGGAACTATTTCCTTAATAAGTAGCAAAAACCCCAGCATTTGCTTCTCAAAGGAGTCCTCTAGGAAACAAAGAGTTTGTTTTTAAAATGCATTTGTTTTTAAAATGCCTTATTATAATGAACACAATATTTTAATCCTGGGTGAATATTTTAAAATTCTTTAGCTCTTTGTAATATGATGCTTACAATACTCTGCTTCAAAAATGTAATTTCCCCCTTGAGTTACTTTTAGTGAAAAGGAAGCATCAATAACACTAGCTTTATAGTAAGGTACAGCAGACTCATTTCAACCTTCTGCTACTTAGCCCTGGCAAAGCATCGACCCGTGACCCACACCTCGCACTTCTACTTCAGTGTTGGATCCTCATGACAACTCTGCAGTCCTAACTTGGAATACAGTTGAATCTGGACTCTTCTTTGGGTTAGGCTCTTTACCCACTTCCTCTCCACCTTCCCTGTGAAGATGAGGGTTTGCAAAGTATCCAGGGGTATACAGCACCTCAGGAAACAGGTGTACAGAACTATGGAGGTACTCTACATGCTTGCTGCAGTTATTAATTCAAAGGGCTCTGCTTCTCCAAAATCAGCTACATGGGGCTATGGATGTGTTCCAGCTGATAGCAGAAGTTGTATCCTTTGAAATAAAACAACAAGCAGTTGAGAGATTCCTTCTTAATTCAGTAATATGTTGCAAACTAAGTTGGCATCAAACCATGCCTTAGTGAAAAGTTCAGATTATACTGAACTCCCTTTTGGTCCAGTCCTGAGCTCCCATGTCACTCTGCCAAGGTACATCAATCTCAGAGGGTGGGGATAGTGGGGGAGGGAGGGAGGGAGGGAGGTGAGGGAGGTGGGGGAGGCGTGTATGCATGGTTATGTACGTACACACACAAAAGATCTGAAGCACCTGATATTTAAGCAGTCACTAAAATGAGAACTTGAAATTGTACATCCAATCCAAAATGTATTGTGTGCATTTTGAGAGGCTGAAGGAAAGAGATATGCTTGGCTTGCAGAAAAGGTGCTTAAGAGGAAACGTGATAGCAGTCTTCAAATATCTGAAGGGCTTCCATAGAAGACTGAAAACACATTTTCTCTCTTGTTGCTGAGAGAAAAATGTAGACCAATGGCTTGAAGTTGCAACAAAGTATATTTATGTAAGATATCAGGAAAAATTCTTCACTGTTAGAATAGTGAACCAATGGAATAGACTACCTAGGGAAGTTGTGAAATCTCCATTATTGGAGGTGTTCAAGATGGGGCTGGATGAGCATTGGGTAGAGATGATCCAGTAGTAGCTATGCTTATGCTTTTCTATGGGTCTCTCTCATGCTTATGGGCTTTGTTGGTTGCTACAAACAAAGCAACCAACTTTGTTTTTCCCCTCTGTTTGCTACATGTGTCAGGCTTCTTTTTTCTTCTTCTTCATTTTGCCTTCCTTAGAAGCATTGGGTGTTGGCTGCAGCCAAGGTTGGGGATTTTGACTGGGGTGTGCCAATGCTTCTGCTGAGACTAAAACCTGGATGTTCCTGGCTAGAGGGTCTTGCATCTCCATTTAGGGTCAGACTGATCACCATATTTGGGGTCAGGAAGGAATTTTGCCCCACAGATTGGTACAGACTATGAGGTTTTTGCCTTCCTCTGTAGCAGGGAGCATGGCCCTCTTCCTTGGATCTCTCAAATTTTTTAACAACCCTTGCATCAGCAGGACACTGGCCACCAAAGTCCCCTACCTTATCTGTGACAGTTTGGGTGTCATGCCTTGTAGTTGTCGACTGCGTAGTTTTACTAACAGGTTAGAAATGGATTTGTATAGGGTGGTTTGGATAGGGATGATTCTGTCTCTGGTTCGGGGTTGGACTAGATAATCTCAGAAGGTCCCTTCCAGCTCTACTATTCTATAATCCTATGGAAATCTGAAGAATTTATCACTGTGTTATAAAAGACAGATAATAGCTGTTCTTGCATACAGTTTGCATGCCCTAGGAAGAAGATGAATTCTGCTTATCAGAAATGAAGAGCAGAGAAGGGACATACTTTAGTGGCTCATCAAAACGAATTGTTGCTGCACAGTGGAAGACAATGTTGACTTGGGACAGGAGATCCTCAGAGTCCTTGGGGCTGATGGCCAGATTTGGCTGGATGAGTTCTGCATTAATAGGTTTAATCTTCTCTTGGAAATTAGGATAATCTTCTCGGACTCTGTCAAAGACCTAGAAGTACAAGAACAAACAGAAGGTAATGAATTAAGAGTTATTGTTATTACACCTATTGATGATACCACCATCCTGATTAGTAGCCAGTTTGCCATATTTGTATCAGTAGATGGAACTGAAATGAAACAGAATGACTGATACTTCCAGAAACAACAGTGTCATAGGACCATAATACTGGAAGGGAGCTCATGAGGTCACCTAGTCCAGCCCCCTCCTCAAGGTAGGATCATCTTTAACTAAACTGTTCCAGTCAAGTCTCTCTAACCTGATCTTGAAAATTTTCAGGGATGGAGATTCCACAGCTTCTCTAGGCAGCTTGTGTTCCAATGCTTGACCATCTCATAATCAGAGAGTTCTTCCTAATCTCCAACCTAAAATTTCCTGATGCTGTTTGAGGCCATTGCTTCTATTCCTGTTCCCTATGGCCACAGAGAATAGTTTCTCTTCATTTCTTGATAGTCATCCTTCAGGTATTTGAACAATGCTATCAGATCCCACCTGTCTTTTCTTCTTCAGACTAAATAACCATAGGTCTTTCACCCTTTCCTCATAAGCCATGTTTTCTATACTTCTAGTCTTTTTGTTGGAAGTCTCTTTATTACAGCATGTAGCAGAGAAATAACTAGAAATGAACCATATTGTCTTTTTCCTTGTGGACAAGAATTTGTGGACAGGGTATTTACTTCCACAGGAAATAATAAGATACCTTCTGCATAGCCCATGTCTCAGGTGAGTCCACAGGAAATCTTATCCTTCTACAGGGATTGCTGCACTCTTTATGAAAGTATGTCGGGTGAAGGTACAGTCAGGTGGGACCCATGGGAAGTTCATGCTACATTAGGCTCTGATTGTTGTTATGCTGATTCAACAAAGGGCTTGAGGGAAGGGAGGAAAGAACATGCATTCTGTTGTCTTGGTCATTGTCTGCCTGTCCCTCTTCCCCCAGTTCATGTATACCCAGGTAACAAAGAACTATTTATGCTAAATAGAGAATATGGATTGATGCTGATGAAGTGGCTGACTGTTCCATTTTGCATGGTGGAATGCCTCTTCATGTAGATCTCAGGGACACATGAGGCTATAAAAATACTAATTAGTATGTACTTTTCCTACAACTTCAAAGTGTAGATTCTTTAAATGGGACTTTAATTCTCTATGGTTCATCTTAAAATGGAGGTAAAATCCTGCGGTTACCTTCAAAAAGTTGCTACTATAAAATGATACTTTTTGTACTCCACAGTTGTGCTCCCAATGTATTTTGAGTTATATAGGTTCTTTGACAAGTGTACAGTGATGCCCTTCCTGTTCATAAGACCCAGTGGTCTAGATCAGTGGTTCTCAACCTTTTCAGAGTCGGGGCTCCCCTCCACAACTTTTTTGAATGCAGTGTCATCCCCAGTTGAGAACCACACTGTTGGTGCCATCTCAACTTACCTCAAAAGTTCTCAACCAGGTGCCACTGCCACCAAGTAATACTGCCCCATATCCCCCTGCACAAACAGACTGAGAAGCGCTGTGGCAAGCATGTGCTCGCCTGCCTTATCAGGGTTCCCTGATAAACCTAACGCAGACAGGAGAGCGACCTCATGCTGCAGCTCTTTCTGGTCCAACCATGCAATAGCATCTTCCAGAAATAGAGGCACATGAGACAGATGAAAACATCCATTTTGCCTCTGTTTCTGGGAAAAGTGGGGGAAAGGGGTGGACCAGGAAAAGCTGCAGCACAAGGAAGGTGTCCTGCCTGTTTTAGGTATGGGCAGATCTAGAATTTTGAGAAGGAGGGTGCAGATGGTAAGGTGCATCATCACATATAAAGCAACACATTTTTCTCTAGTTAAAACTAACTAGAATCTTTACTAATATGCTAGGGGCCTACTGCTGTATTATTCAGATTAAGATTGAAGCAAAAGCAAATATAACTTCATTGGAATGAGTTAAAAATAATCTGCAGGGCTATGAAACAGGCGTTTCATTACCAGGAGCAGCTAACAGACAGCAGAATCGCAGAGCTCAGAATAGCTTGATTGGAGAAACATCAAGACCATTAAAAAGAAGAGAGAGTCCTTAACACCTGTGGAATGAAGTGTGCAGAAGGGACCAAGTAGATTATAATGAGCCATAAATTCAAGCACCTCCCTCAGCACTACCTGACTAGAAATGTTGCTGCCACAGCCAGGCAGCTGGATTTAAATTTTGGGTGGAGCAGGAATCAAAGGGATGTGTGCTGCAAACCTGTGAGTGGGGCAGTTTTACCTGGCTGCCACCACAGCAACAGCTCGTGTCAGGGCACCCCTGAAGGGGCCTTGTGGCACGTTGGTTGAAAAGCACTGGTCTAGACTCTGTTCAGCCTTGTGCACTAAAAAAAAAGGAGCCAGCTACTGAATCTATTTACTAGAGATAACAAAGGCACAGATGACATGGCTGGACTTTCAAAACCCTACACTAGTTTTTTGGATTAGCAGTTTAATAGAATAATTTTGACTTTAAATCAGACAAACTACTCAACATATTTATCTCAGTGTTTTAAAAGCAGATGCATGACGAATAGGTCCAAAGAGGTGATACTTCCCCTCTATCGGGCACTGGTCAGACCACAGTTGGAGTACTGCGTGCAATTCTGGGCGCCGCACTTCAAGAGGGATGCGGATAACCTGGAGAGGGTTCAGAGAAGGGCCACTCGTATGGTTAAGGGCCTACAGACCAAGCCCTTCGAGGAGAGACTAGAGAAACGGGATCTATTCAGCCTCCGCAAGAGAAGGTTGAGAGGCGACCTTGTGGCTGCCTATAAGTTCATCACGGGGGCACAGAAGGGAATTGGTGAGTATTTATTCACCAAGGCGTCCCCGGGGGTTACAAGAAATAATGGCCACAAGCTAGCAGAGAGCAGATTTAGATTGGACATTAGGAAGAACTTCTTCACAGTTCGAGTGGCCAAGGTCTGGAACGGGCTCCCAAGGGAGGTGGTGCTCTCCCCTACCCTGGGGGTCTTCAAGAGGAGGTTAGATGAGTATCTAGCTGGGGTCATCTAGACCCAGCACTCTTTCTGCTTATGCAGGGGGTCAGACTCGATGATCTATTGAGGTCCCTTCTGACCCTAACATCTATGAATCTATGAAATTGTCAGCTATTGTTGTAGGATCTGAGCGCCTTCCATGTCAAATCAATAACCAAGTACCCAGAGGATGTCACAGTGTCTCTGGCACTTCTCCCTTGTGAGGTGAATTCTCCTTTTTTGGGGTAGAGAAAGAATAACTAGAATAAAGAGACTATAGAATCTCAAGAGATATAATTTAGTCAGATTTCAGAGTATAGCCACACTTTATTTCACTGACATATTGCTGTTTTTTGTTGTTGTTTTTTTTTTACAAGATAGGTTTCTGCCAAGTCTTATGGGCAAGTGTTGCTGTGGTATCTTCCCATTATGAGAATGGCTGCTTTGATAGGCAAATAAGCATTCAAGGGCCCCAGCTTAGGTTGAGGTGGCTCAGTTTAAGCCATCTACACCTGAATTCAGATGACCGTGCACAAGTGTTTACCATGTGCAAGGAGAAGGTGTGGGGGCAGCTGGAGACAAGTCAGTCATGGGGGTGCTGGCAGGTCCAGGGGGAAAACAGGCTTGTCAGGGTTAGGGGGTAAACACAGCACAGGACCAGGAATGGGGCTAAGTTCTCCCAGTCCTGGGACTATGCTGGGGTGCTTGGGAGCATTCATTAGGTTGGGTTAATCCATTTTAAGCCAGGTTGCTGATCTAAAGCTTAGATTAGGCACAGCATTTTGAGGGCAACCTAAGCCCTGTGAACACTTGCACACCCAGACATTCAGATAGGTCTAATCTCAGTTAGGGTGATCTAAATATGACACTTGTATGCATCCACAGTTATTATCTTACCCTTGACTGGTCTAGTGTTGAGGGAAGTGTTTTAAAAAAATCATACATTGCATAAGAAAAATGACCAAAACATTAAATGGCAAGTAAAGCAAATATTTCCTCATTTGACCTAGGGATTATTATATTTCTGTTTATTTGGTCATCATATCCAAATAAGTCTTCACATTCCTAATATATGATCAGTCTCTTTCTTAAAGCAGCACACTGTCTGTCTGGCTTGCTACATCTTTTTTTTATTTCAATACATTCCTTTATGACCTTCATCAACACAAAATCCCCAAGCAAATTAATTGACAGGATATGTAAATAAAAAAATAAGGTTGCATTTTTTCCTAACATTGCATAACTCCCAGGTACATGTTGGAGAGATTATTATAGCTAAGGAAACTAGATTTCTGTTGTAAGCCTTTTCTGAAATAGAGTAACTATCCTTTAAAAAATATCTTATACAAAGATTCTGCCAGGAGCTAGATTTTCAAAAGGCACAAAAAGGTGTAAAGTGCTCAGTTGCTACTGACTGTCAATTGAAGTGAAGACACCAAAGAGCCAGGGTGACTTTGCAAATTTCACCGTATAACTAGGAGCCCACCAGAAAACTTGCCTTTATCTGTGTTATTGTATGCTAGATCATATACAGCAGGGGTGGGCAAAATGCAATCTGTGGGTTGGATGCGGCCGCCAGGCCATTCTATCCGGCCCACGGGGCCCTTAAAAAATTAATATTTATCTACCCCTGGCTGCTTGTCATGCAGCCCTTGATGGCTTGCCAAAAGTCAGTAAGCCTGAAATAATTGCCCACCCCTGATACACAGGAACAACAAGCAAGTCCTGGTGTGACACAGAACAGAGTTGTCCCTCAGGCAAGAATAAATATAAAATTATATTCTTGACCACCTGTGGGCTTGATCTTGAGTCCAATGTTCTACTATCCCAGCTCTTGTGAGGAATCCCAGCTGACTAGAATGGTAATACTGTACTTTACTATTGCTCTATACTCGAGTAAATGACTACACAGTCTCTGGACTAATGAAAATCATCTTCTTCCTCCTCCCCCCAGCCACATCAGTCATCTTTCATACAAAATGGAGCCATAACCCATAACTCTAGT